AGTGCTGGAGGCTGATTTGAAATCCAGGTATTCTTCATTACAATACTCTTTCAGTATGTAATGCAACAGCCTGTATCAGCACACTGGGGGTGTTACTGCTAATGTCTCTTAATTCTAGACACTTTCAATTTAATTGTATTCTACAGCAGGAGACTGAAATGTTGATTATGCTCCAAGTGGAGGCTGTAAAGAGTTAACCCCACAATTGGCTTATTCTGAGAAGTGAGTCTGACCAAGGTCAGAGTAACTTGCTCCCAAATTCTGTTCCCACAACAAAACCTTTCTTCACTAGAAGGACAGTGTTCTAATTACAACCATATATTTTGTCTATTTTGTTCCTAATTCAAAAATGCTTTTTATTTTTCTTCTACAAGCCTCGCCTCCATTAGTTTCCATAGAAACTGCACTATTGTGCATTGTGGCATGTAGTTCTGCCCTCTCATGTAGCTTGCCTTTACAGATGATGGCCAATAAAAATCAGTGGTTAGAATGGACCAGCACCTTTTGCTAAAGTACCATTGGCTGTCCTGGCTTCCCGCTTTCTGTCTCGCATGGTTCTGTCTTTTGCCCCCTCCCCAGCAGATTTGCATTGTATAGTGAGCAGAATACTGGAGCCTACTGCAGAGATTTCTGGTAACCTTTCAAGAGTCCCCACTATTCTACTTTAAGATAAAAAGTAGCCTTTTGTGCTGTTATGGATATTTGTAGAGGACACACATATCAGGGTTAGAGACAGAGGAATTTTTGACAGCATAGCAAGTTACAAAAGCATCAGTAAACATGCTTGAGTTCCTGCATTTGCTTTCTTTTACTTTTACACATTCAGTAGCCTTAAATGGCACTTAGTATCTCATAGGACTGTATAGCAAGGCACGAACAGGCTTGGGTGATAATCTTCTTAAGTCCCCATAGGTCAGGAGATCCCAGGGCCTTCACACTGTATTACACCCTCATCCTCATCCTTTTTCACTTTTTTATTTTGAGATAGGGTCTCATTAAGTCACTAAGTTGTCTCTGCTAGGCTCAAATTTGTGATTCACCTGTCTCAATCTCTCAAATTTCTGGGATTACATGCACATGCCACCTCTCAAGGTGAAATTCTCCATTTCAAAGTGACTAACGGCACACCAAATATTTCTTTTACTCAAAATCTGTCTGAATTTCTCTTCTCTTGCATCTCTCTGACTTCCTTCTGTGCCTCTGTTTCTAAATACTGAAATGAACACATTGGGCTTCTGATAGCCCAGTAAAATCTATTTTAAGGTCAGCTATTTAGTAACCATAATTGACTCACAAATTTCTCTTGTGTAAGGAAACATATTCACAACGAAACATGGCATCTTACCAAAGCATGGCATCTTACCATATTCAGCACTCCAAGGATTAGGGGTATAATCTTTTTGAAGTGATGATTTTGCTTACCACAGTTTTCCTTGCCTGCAGATTGCATGAGGACAATGCCATCCAGATGGATACTCACATGCTGTTGAGAAACTCTAGGCTTGGGGAGTCTACCACTTTTATAACAAGCAGCAAACAAACTTACTCTTTGTCTAGTGAACACTAGATGAAACCTATCGCATCTCTCCAGCTTACCAAGTGCATGAGCACAGCCCTGAGGGATTGCTAGTGTTAAGGATCTGTCAGAGCCTCGCATTCTTGGAGCAGCAAATGAGAATTGCAGGAGACAAGACACCCACAGAATAGTACCTCTCTGAACTGGATCCCAAAGTTCTTGAGCAATCCCAAACGATAATTCAGCCTTCAAACTTTGAATACACTGGTCAGTCTGGACCAAAATAAAAGATCTCTTCCGGTTTGAGCTTTCAGCTACAATGAAAAGTATATTCCCTGAATTCCCTAAAGGGCGTGGGGATGTGTGCGATTAAAGGTAATAGTCAAGTCATATGTAATGCTGGTCAGAGATCTATAATTATCACCCTTTATATAAAAGAGAAAGAAACAAACAATAGTCAAATAAAAATTGTGAAAAAGTTTAGGATAGCAGATTAAAAATGGTATGATGGCCACCCTTGGCATACTATGGCAGGAGTGAAATTTGTATGGACCTGTGAATTTAAACCAATTATTTAATCTCTCTGTCTGGCTATTTTCTTATCTTTTGATGAAAATAATAAAATAATACAGATTTATTTGGAGAATGGAATGAAATAATTCCTATAAAACTAATAGTGCTGCATTTGTTACAAAGTCTGTATCTCACAAATGTTATATTATTTCCCCTTCTGCTCAGCTCAGAATATATCCAAATAGGAAGTAGTCTAGCATGAACTTGCCTTTGATATGTTTGAATACCACAGTTTCCACTGCACCCAAATATCCACTTAATTGAAATAGACACCACTTATTGAACAAATCTTTCTCCTAAAGTCAATATATGTGGTCACTGCATGATCCCAAAATACACTTTTGTCTACCCCCTCAAAATTCTTCCTCTTCTTACTCATAAGTTTAGAGAGCTTCCAAGAGATAAATTTTTGAGTATCATATGCTTAAATGTTCAAAATTCATCTAAAAGTATATAGGATAAAAAAGCCAAACTTTGGAAAATATGAGCCTTTCTCTGGGATAAATATTCACCTGCAGGAGACCTTGAGAAATTATGCTGGTTTCACTGCTCCGGGATATTTTCCCAGAGCACTTAGGTAGGGCCAGAGGCCCTGTGGACCACCTACCCAAGTGTGTTCCTTTCTTTGATATCACAAAGTCTTGAGACCATTTTGTGGTGTTATTGCTTGGCTCTATAATCATTATTGTGGTTACAGTTTTTTAAAGGTTCATTTTTGTGCTTTCCAGCTTGGCCTTAGGTCTACAGTGGAAAATACATTTATAGAAATATGTTGTTTCATGGGTGTGGGTATAGCTTCCATTTTGGGCCTGCCCCCAGACCACCTGGAACACCTTCATGGGTCCCAGTTATCCAAAAGCCACATCATGAAAACCAGCAGGCTGCTTCTTGAGGTTGCTACTGGCAATTCTGTGAAATCCTCAAATGAATAATCAGGAACGGTTTCTTTGTTGTTTCTTTAAGGATAATTTCTTTTCCTTTCGCTATGAATAAAATGCATCTTTTCTACATGTTAGCATCCTACTGATATTTGCAACATGCAGCATAACAAATAAGTTAAAAATTGGCCTTTACTTTCAGGCAGAAGTAAATTATAAAATGACTGTAAGTAACATTCTGAGAAAGCAGCTGCCTGTTTTTCTAACCCGGACACTGGAGTCTGCAAAGTACAGGGCACACCCTTAAAGCCTACTTCAGGTTTATAGAAGGCCTAGTGTGTGGTCAAGACCTGTAGGCTTGAAGTTTAAAGTTCATACCAGGGATGGACTTAATGACACAATTGAAACCCTCCTCTGGCACAGGTCCCCTTCAATGTGGGCATGTCTAAGCCCCACAAAATTTTCCCAATCTTCAAAGATTCTGACTTTTAAATAAATATTAATGCTTCACTTTCTATGCTATGGAAATAGTAAGAAATGGGCTTAGGAATCTCTCCCACAAATTTCATGGTTAGCGAGAACCAACTACCTGACCAGCAGACAGAGAAAGCCAAAGATACACCAAACCACATAGCAAAGGCTCAGTTTGCCAAAACTGTGGCTGAGTCAAAGTGGATTTGGCCCTAAATATATTAATTCCAGATACCCGGAGGTCTGAGAAAAGGCAAAAGTAAGCAAACCAATTGGTGAAAGGATAATTTTTTTCCCTCCACATCCCCTTTTGTAAGGGTTCCTCTCCCACATGTGCCTCTCACTGCCCAACATAGTCAGAAGAAAGGAGAATGTTACAGGTGAAAGAGGGAGGTGAAGGCCTGCTGCTGGGGCCAAAGGAATCATGGGTCTGGCAGTCACAGGACAACCCTTGTCTTTCTTAATGAGAGGCTGATATCCTTCCATTTTCCCTTTAACCAAAGTGATTCTATACACTCTTGATAGTAAGTCATGAGGCATGCATAAAGCAACTCACACGTTTTAGAAAATAATGTAGAACTGTAACTAGAACACAAATCTTTAAGCTAATATCTGTGGTACTTTTGTAGTGTTGTCTTTAATTAAAACAAAAACAACAAAAGATGAAACAAACAAACAAACAAAAATCTGATTTATTTAAGCACAGGCTTATTTCTTTTAGAGAACTGTTACTAGTACAGGAGTGCTCCCTCTAGCCACCAGTTTAAGGAACATATATCCTGCTAACCAGAAAAGCTCCTTAAATGTGCTCTTACATTTATACAGCAGTAAAAGTGCATATCACATATCAGTGATGAGATTTGTGCAGAGATATTAAACTTCTGATTATAGTAGATGGAATTTTTAATCTTGCTTTTTGTTTATGAAGATATTACTGTGTAAGATATAATGAAAGAGAGATTGCCAGTGATGCCAGGATTTATTTTTCAAAGCAACTGACTGGATATGTGTCTTATGATTTAAAGTGAAATGTTTCTTTATTAAAAATTTTGGGGAAAAAAACAAGTTTCAAAAAACACATTTTGAACTCAAATCATATAGAAACTAAGTATAAATCTTGCTGTAGAATATAAAGTGTTTTGTATGAGCCCTTATAAAGAGGCAAAGTTAGAAAATATGTAATGCTTCTATTTTGCTATTTTAGCAACATTGACATTTCATTTCCTCATAAAATTATGCTTCTGTATTTGTGCTTTTCCGTTGTCCACCTTTTTGTGTTAAAATAAAATTGAAACATTTAAATAATACAAGCCTAAACGTTTTCATATTATGCTTCAACTGTCACAAGTAAAAACATTTAAAAGATCTTTTGCCAGGTCACAAGACCTAGCAGAGGAAGCCTCCTCCAAACAAACCTGCAGCTATCTGCTATAGCTGGCACCTTCTTACCTCTGCAGATAGTTTTCTAGGCAGAGAAAACAGGACTAAACCAGGTATATTTGCTGAGATGTAATACCAGATACAATTACTGCTTAAAAGAAGAGAAGTTTTACTTGGCTTACAGTACTGGGGGGTGCAGTCCATAGTCATCAGTTCCAAGGCAGAAGCATCAGGACAGAAGGATACAGCACAGCAAAGACACTTTTTCCATGGAGGCTGTGAAGAAGAGGAGGGGGAATAATGTTAGAGAATAATTTAGAGGCCACATATAGTACTCAAGGCCTCAACTCCATGACCTACCCAGACACACCCAGAAGTATGCGCTACTAGTCTGCTAGGCATATTTTAATTCAATAAAGTTGACATAATTGACAGTCAGAATCCAACCCTTGCCAACTTCACATTCAAAAGTGGCTCCTTAAAACATATTTAATCTTCAAATAAAGACAATAGCAAGTTTATAAACCCACTTCACATAATACAGCTATGCCACATACAAATGGAAATTCATAATCCTTTTCCCCAAATCTCAACAGTTTCAGCATTCCTGAAAAGTCTAAGTCTCTTTGGAGATTCAAAGCAAACTCATAGCAGTGAACCTCTATAAAAAAACAGCTACATCATCTTAAGGTAAACGGCACAGGATAAACCACAGATAGGCAAATAGAAAAGAATAGAACCAGAAAGAGAGTAAAAATGTGCAGGATGTAATATTAAACACCTACATCTGAATCAAGAATTTAGTCTATGGTTGGCTGGTTTCAAGGCAGAAACTTCATGGCCTGAGGGTATGGCAGAGCAGAGATGTTTATTTCATAGCGGCGGGGAAGCAGAGCAGGGGAACAGAATCAGAGAGGAATGGGTAGGGGACCATATTTAGTACTCAAGTCCAAACCTACATGAGCCTTTCAGACATGCCCAGGAGCGTCCTCTAATAATCTTCTAGGCATTTCTCAATGCAATGAAGTTGACATATCAGGATTAGTGGTCATACCAGGAGACTAGAGAGGCATGGCATAAGGAATAAACCTACACTTATGATTGAACATGCTATTCGTAATGATTAAGAAAAGTTTGTGCTACGGATAGAAGTTAAATTTTATAGTTATTAAAATGAGAAAAGTAGTTACCTTGAAATGAATCTATTATAACACTCACAAGCACCTTATAGCAATTATATCTTTGGCACTGAAAAGTGTTTTCTGTTTCTTGTTTGTTTTTTCAAACAAGATTGTTCGGGAGGGTAGATATACACAGTTCAAATGTTTAATTGTTCTGATAAAAAATTCCAGGAGCACATAGCATTTCTCATCTCTTTTGCTAGAAACACCAATGAATTGGCACTTCATCGAGAGCTCTCTTGTGCTTTATCTTTTTTTTTTTTTTTTTTTTTTTTTTTT